AATCTGACGTGACATGTTCGTACGAACCCTTTGTACGAACAAAAGTAAGAGAAATTTAGGAGAAGAATATGAACATGAGACCAGAAAACACCAACATGTTTGACAGCTGTAGAATAGATGAACTGTTTCTATTTCAGAGGAACAAAAACACATGGATCAGACTCAAATTTAAATCTTTTATGTAGAAAATCTTCCACAGGGTAAAATATAATTTTAAATTGGCTTCATTTTACTGTTGGTGGAATTGGGTATTTTACATAGAACATGTCTTCTTTCTAAAATCATTATCTAAATCTTGTCTATTATTGTTAATATTAAAATTACAAAATATTTTATATTTAAAGGCTAGGCTGACCAGTTTATTGTTACGTTTTCTATCTTGTAATAATAGATTATCTATTGACTGAACACCTGGACTAGTTTAGTTTTAGTGTATTCATTTATTCATTTCATTAAAACAAAAACTAAGACATGGACTAAGAAGTACACATTAAATGTACTGCTTCCTTTCCCATCACTGGATTGTTGCAGGATAGTTCAGAACACATCCATTAATCTACGTTAATCTAAGATGAGAAACAAGATTTAGAAACAAGTTGTTTATCTCAGATTAATTGTTTTAAAGTGTTTTTCTGACGGATAAACTAATATTTATGACTTTGTCTTTGTTGACAGACACATCCCAACGTGGACAAGAAGTTTTTCACAGCTGACTCAGTGATCGGTCTGAAGAACCCAGAGAAGTCCTTCCCTCTCAATAATGATGTTGGTGTGCTGAAGTGGAGGCTGCAGACCTCAGACGAGACCCTCATACCCCTAACTAGTGCGTTCAAATATGACACATCCTTACCTAACAGTAGATCCATGATTGGTTCAGGTTATTATGACGGGTAACATGGTGTAGCTCCTCCTTCACCTGGATTATTCTGTGTCTCAGTAAACTGCTGGCCTTCAGAGAGCGCCACTGGCTGTGACGTCAACATCGAGTACGAGCTGCAGAAGGACAGCCTCGAGCTGAACGACGTCGTCATCAGCATCCCCATACCGTAAGTACATCTGCTCAGAACCTAGACCTCAGGGGTTCCCCTAGTGCAGGGGTCACCTGTACGGTGCCTGTGGATAATAGCACTGATCAGCTGACCGTCATAAATGTTAAACAATGGGACCAAAATTCACCTGTGTGCTCTTTGAAACTTTAACAAAACACTTAATGTCAACAAGAGCTGCTGTTAAGCCCTGTAAACACAACAAACCCAGCAAGTTCTCAGACTGCAGCGACACACGCTTAACTCCACCCCCACCCTTCACAAAGTTAACCCTTACAGCACAGATATTCAGTTAGTTTACCTCTGTGTAGAGGGGAAAAGAGCATTAAAACGTAGGAAAACAAATTGTTTTCACAATGATTGGGAGAATAGTTTTTCTGTATTTGGTTTTTACAAGACTGATATTTTGTATCTACAAGAGTTAATAAGAGTGATGAGCACAAAGGGCATGAGTTAAATGTTTTACTGGTAAAAGTTTATCTTAAAATATGGAAAATAAGTTACCATTTTCTTAAAGAAATAGACTACACTTTTTAAAGTGATCCACGATTAGTTGTAACATTAGACTTTATTTGATAAACATATATTTTAACTGTAAATTAAATACTATAAAAATACTGTAGGATGTTTAGTTTTTATCATTTTTAAACTAAAAGTTTAGAAATATATTACACGGATGGGGCCATTTACACAATGCATTCTGGGTAAATGATGATGTCAACTAGGTCATGAGGCTGCTAGTGAGCTATATCCACCCTGAAGGTTAATC